AAACATTAGAAATGTAATGCTGAAATAAATGGTAAGTGTTGAGAGCTATCTTTTTCTGAGAGAAAGGAATGGAAAAGAGAAATATGAAAATAATATAACTTAGGAAAAATTATCCAACTATTGGTCAGTAAAGAAAAAAAGCTTTACTGGATTTTGTAATTACTTCTCTACAATATCTAATTTACTAGTGACCCCTTTCCAAATTCTCAAAGAGACCAAAAGATTATTTTGCTTAACACCATTGAATTGACACTCATCAATAGGGAATTTAAAAAATGCCTGGATAAAAACAAAATGTAATGTTATTTATTTATTACATTTTTAAATATTTGGATGTTATATTAAAATATGTTATAACAAGTTAAAATATATCAAAAGTTGAGTGTCAAATATTATTTGCTTAAGAATATTTTGTGACACTATTCTGTTTTCAGGTTGACATATATAAAAATCAGGCCTGAGAAGCATTTCTCTTAATTTTAATTCTTCCCCTATTTTGTATCCAGTAACAACCAAAACTTCCCTTTCATAAATGTTATTATCTCCAAAGTTAGATAATCACCTGTAACCCTTAGGTCTTCATAAAGCTTCCCTTAAAAAAAAAATACTTTCCCAAACCTACTTAAATTTATTTTTTGCAAGCTGTTTTCAAACCCATTTTTCTACCTTTTACTAACCCCTCGCCTTCTTTTGTGTTTTTCTCACACCTGTGGAAATTGTACATGTTTATCATATTTCACATTTTGTTTTCTTCTACTTACCAACTATATTATGTTACTTTAATCTCCTCTTACAGAGGTGATCTCATTCAAATGGAGCCCTGACTTTTCTCAAGTTCAAAAAACAGCAACAACAAAAAAGCACACAAAGGAATATGCTAATTCTTTCAATGTAATTTTCAAATTAAATTATATGTATGACTTCAATTAATAAAATAATTTCTAGTGTTAGGTTCTTTAGATTATTTATTATATTGCCTAAGAAGACTGTACATTTCCTTATTTCTAATGTATTTACAGAAAGTTTTCAACTCTTCTGTATCCTTTTCCCACTTAAATCTCCTTTTCTTCTACACTCTCCTTAGACTTGGACACATAATTCAGAGTTTTGGTTATGAAATCCAAAATTTGCAAAACTGGTATAACTCACTTGAATAGACAAGTTATTATGTTTTTAAGAAAGTACAGATCATTATACCTGGCTATTTAAAACTAGGGAAGAAATTGTTTAAATTCATAAAGATAATTCTGCAATATGTAAACACTTAAGAAATAAATTCAAAAAATATTTAATTTATCCAATATAGTTAATAAACCTACTATGAGAAATAAATTAGAAGCTGAAAAGCATTAGGCAATGCATGAAAACTAGTATTAGTTTTAGTTGTTGACGATCTATCTAAGAAATCACCATGAAGTCATTTCATCTCTTGCCCTAAGGTTCTACACTGTAAAAGAAGGAATTTATGATTTCTAACATTCCTTTTGTTTCTAAATGCCTGGGTTCCTTTAAATATGTCATAAAATTTCAGTCCTGAGTTTTGTATCTGTTCTCTTCCAAACACCTACACATACACACAAACATACCACAAAGAAATCCCTATTAAAGAATACCTTCAGGGGGAAAAAATACAAAAATTCAAAATAGCAACTAGGTATTTTCATATATTGATTGTGGGAGAGTAACTGGTATATACCTTCCTAAAAGTCAATGTGGCATTATTTATCAAAAATTAGAATAAGGAAGCCCTTTAAACTCAATATCTTTACTTCTAGGAATGAAGACCAAGGAGTAACTCATACACTTATATAAACATATGTGCTCAAACGTATAGAGGGCAACACTGAATATATAATACACAGTTCACACTTAGGACCAAATCTGAATTCTTGATTTCCACTCCTAACTCTGTTCTCCTATATTCTAGTGAATACCCCATCTGGTCAAGCTGAATATTAAGAGTCATTATTCATTCCTCTTTTATAATTAATCTATAAAAAAAAAAAACCTTGTCTTTTTCCTTGAAAATCCATTAAAAACTAGTCACTCCTCTAGATCTCTACTGCTAGCAACCCAGTCCAACCTCCTTTCTCTCTCACCTGGACTGGTTGGTAAAAAAAACTAACTCCTGAGTCATTTTCTTCCATTTACTCCTTCGGAACAAGAGAAGCCAAAATGATCATTTCTAAACATAAAATCATGCACTTCCCTGTAAAAAATTTTCTCATGACTACCCACTGCACTTAAAGGAAAATCCAAATGCCTCATGCTGGTGTCTACCTATCTCTCCAAGTTCATCAGATGCCATGTTCTCCATTGTTTTGATTACGATGGCCAAAATGACATTTCCTAAAACCTACCAAGCTCGTTCCTGCTCCAAGGCCCTTTATCATGTTTTCCTCCAGCCTGGAAAGCATCTTTCAAGGCCAGTTCCTCATTATCCAGCTATTAGTATAACAGCTTTCCTTGGCCCTTTTATACACTATTACTTTATATTATTTGTTCCTTCATACACTCACCTTAATCTTCAATTACCTTGTCTATTTGTCAGCTTTGTATTTCTTTCCACTACCACATAAAACCCTGATGGCATGAAACTGTTTCATTGCTATTATCTCAGCACCATGTACATACAGTCCATATCAATAAATATTTATTGCATGAATGACAGAACAGAAGAGCAACCTGGGTTTTGTTTTCATTTGCCAATGGTAAGCTATTATTTAAATTATGAGTCTTAGTTTACACTAAAAACTTCACACATTAGCCAATTCGTCTATCTAATCTACTTCAACTAAAATAATACAAAACATCAATAAGACATATCAAAAAGAACTTGGTGAAACTTGCATAGTACACTATAATGTACTAAAAGTTTGTGATCTGGCGTTAGCAACCTTCTTGGCTTCATCTCTGCCACCCACCCACACACATATCTATATTTCTCATAATAATTGAGAAATATAAATTGGTCAGATTTGCTGCAATTCAAAGTGTGTATGGCAAGACGAAGCTAAGAAGATTGTTGAGGACAATCTGGCTTCTGTACTGGAACAGGTGTCACATTTTAGTTTATAGAATCAGAGATTTTATGAAAGTTCATATACTTTAAAAAACAAGTAAGGGGACACCTGGGTGGCTCAGTCGGTTAAGCATCCGACTTCGGCTCAGGTCATGATCTCACGGTTCGTGGGTTCGAGCCCCACGTCGGGCTCTGTGCTGACTGCTAGCTCAGAGTCTGGAGCCTGTTTCAGAGTCTGTGTCTCCCTCTCTCTCTGACCTTCCACTGCTCACGCTGTCTCTATCTTTCTCTCAAAAATAAATAAAACATTAAAAAAAAAAAAAGAACAAATAGGGCATCTGATCAACTGGAAGAGTGAGGGATTTGATTCAGTACAAAATTTAGCAAGTAAATGCTATACACACAATAATGTTTTTACTACCATAGAATCAGTATCATGTTTCTTTTGTGACAGACTACAATTTAGATTTTACCTTACTGTTAAGATTTTAATTATTTTTACTGAAGCCTAGTGTATACGTTGTTCCTAAAACTACCCTCAGTGATATTATGTGAAATTGGCTTTACAAAATCTTTTCCATTCTTAGATAATGTGCTAGAATCTACATTAGTGATCTTTTCACTGATAACATATTCTCCTTATCTCATGTATTTCAAACTCTACCATGCCATAAAAACACCATTTTTGGTTCTACATGCTTGCATATTCTATTTTTATTTCTAAATGAACTCTGCTTACCTAGTAAGCATACTCCTAAAACCATGCTAAAAACATACACAATATGTACTTAATTGTTAAAAATATTTTCTTATTTGTTGTCATTCTATAATTGGGAATTTGGTCTTAGGAAATGTCAACACTTTAATATTAATTTCCAATATTAACATTTCACAAGTTTGTGAATCATATTATCATTTAATCATATTTAAAAAAATAATGCCTATATCACAGCAGTCCACAATTATCCTTTCTTCTTACTCTAAGCCTTTTCTTCACTTACTAACTCTTGAAAGCTAATTTTATAACCCTCTTTTTCTCAGTATTTACTATTAAAAGTCCCTAGAAGGCCAATAACAATATTAAGGTCTTCGTCAGCACATCCCTCTGGCTCTATCATAATTGTTTTCCCATTATAACTGAATCTTTGGGGAGCACCTAGGTGGCTCAATCAGTTAACCAGCCAACTTCAGCTCAGGTCATGATCTCATGGTTCAGTTCAAGCAACATGTCAGGCTCTGTACTGACAGCTTGGAGCCTGCTTTGGATTCTCTGTCTCTGTCTCTCTCTGTCTCTCCCTGTCTCTTTCTACCCCTCCCTTACGTGTGCTCTTTCTTGCTCAAAAATATATATAAATAAACACATAAAAGAAAACTAATTCTTTGGGGAGTAAAAAGAGGTAGAAATAAAATCAAATTTCCTTTTGAGCCTTTCAATAATGTACTTTTTCATCTAACCAGAGCAACACATTAGGTAAGTCATGAAGTTCTGTGTCTCTAAACTACAGTCATAAAAGTACAGCTAGCTTCAGCTCTTAGGAAAAGCTTCCATTCTCCTATAAATTTCTTTACCTCAGGAATCAGGAATCAACATGTCCAGGACACAGAGCTGTAAGAACAGAAATAAAACCACAAAGGGGAAAACTATAGATCTTAGAACTCCTATGAGGTTACAAGTGCACAAGAAAATTGATAACCGCTTTTTGAGGAGGACTGTGTGTAATACCGGGAATGAGTATCAGATGAATAACAACTTGAATAACTACTGAAGGGAATGAATGATGCAATCTATCTCTGTAATCTTCTATTTCACACAATTCACATCAAAACAAAGCCATAACCAGTGGAGGAGACAGCCCTTATCATACTTACCTATACAACTGAGTTGCAACATAGAAGTAAAGGCTGTGTTTCACAGTACTTCTTAAGTTAAAACAAAACAAAACAAAACAAAAACAAAAATAACACAACAGAAACTTACCCTCAAATGGGGACCCCAACTGGTATTTTCCACTAAAAAATTTTGGCAGTGAAAATACAAGTGCTCCCAGTCCTATCATAAAGGATGCAAATGCAAGCCACCTTGGTTTGTGTCCTCTTTCACCAAAGAATGACACAAATAAAGACAACACACAGAAGGAGATATCATAGCTTGATGATATCAGGCCCGTCAGGGAACTCTTCATTTCATAGCGCTTCTCAATAGTGGAAATGCTAATATTTACGAGGCCATTTACTACAATACCTAAAAGAGAGAAAAGAAGATTTATCTGCATGATTTTTATTAACTTTATTGTACAGGTTATGATTTTTAACAAAATGTGCTAAAGTTTGGTTGTGACTAAAGTGTGGCTGTTCATTTATTTTGATTTTTTTTAATGGACCAATTTCAAAAGTCTCAAAAGTTAGCAACTCAAAAATACTTCCTTACAAATCAGTTTCCTTTTAAATGGTATACTTGTTAATTTTCAGGTGTTAAATAAAATTGATGCTTACCAGATACAAAATGTAGCTAACTTCATTTTTCTTTATATGACAAACAAAAAGTCAGACTGGTAAATTCTTATGAAGCCAGTTTGCTACAGTGATTCTAAGAGTAGCATACTCTCATGAACTTCACTCAGAAAGTATAAAAAGTACAGATGACTCCAGAGGTCATTAAAGTAATGCTCAGTTGCTTCCAAGGCTGTTCAATTATTAGACATATTTATATATAACTAGAATTCCTTGACTTAGTCTTACAAAAGGTGAAATTGAGTTCTCAAACCTCCTTTCTTCTAACACTTCTATAGACCTTAAAGTTACCATTTATAGTTCCTAGAGCAAAAGTAAACACACACTGAGTCATTTCAACAATGGCATTCTAACTCATATGCAAAGGAAGCAAACAAAAAAGTACACCTACTCTGCTTATTACAAGTCTGATGGAAAAATATAAGGTAAACAAGGAAAAGCTGGAAATCCAATTTTGACTGACTTAACAAAAATGTGTTGTTCAGATATAGATTACATTTACTATTTAAACAGTAATATAAATTGAAAATAGGGACGCCTGGGTGGTTTAGTCGGCTGAGCATCCGACTTCAGCTCAGGTCATGATTTCACAGTTCGTGGGTTCGAGCCCCGCATCAGGCTCTGTGCTGACAGCTAGCTCGGAGCCTGGAGCCTGCTTCGGATTCTGTGTCTCCCTCTGTCTCTGACCCTCCCCTGCTCATGCTCTCTCTCTCTCTCTTTCTCTCTCTCTCTCAGAAATAAATTTAAAACACATTAAAATTTTTTTAAAAAGGAAAATAAAAAACATATGATCAAATTACAAAGTTTTAAACTAGATAACCCCTTTTATTTAAGAGGATACCATGAACTGTTTTCGTATGTTAATTAACAAAGTATACATAAGCCATGATTTCTACAATTTCTTTAAATTTTGCTTCATCAAGGCTGTAACTGGAAATGTATTGCAATACAATTGATATTAACAAGCTTTCAAAGTCCTAACATAAAACTCATTTTACTTTTATGGCCAGTATAGTAATTCAAAAACCAATTTACAATGCTTAGAATTTCAAGGTAAAGTGTCTAGTGAAGTTAGGAATGATGTGCTTAAAAGGAATCTAAGAATATGAGAATTTCCCTATCCAAAAATCAACTCCTCTCCAACATGCCCCTCAAAAAAATCAACTTCCCAACATACTTACCATACTGTTTAAAAGTCAGTCATGAAAACTCATTGCCTTTATGGTAAAACTTCTCTGAAAAAGTAAATTTGTAAACTCTTATGGAGGCATAGCACTTTAGGCCTATGAATCCCATTCTGAATTCTATGCTACAGAAGTTCTAAGAACTCTGCTTTAGGAAAAGAAATTCCAAGAAATATTGCATACTGTATCTCTATTGTATATTCATGAAGATAGGAAGCACATTAGGTGATTAAGCACTAAGAGAAATCCTGTTAATCTTTGAGAAATTCTGGATTAAATCAACTAACCTGGCAAGTTTTGGGGTTTTATGGTTTGTTTTAGTTTTTTTCCCCAAACACTTCTTAATATGCCATGTAAATGGTCCTCCCAAGGATCATGTCTGAGAAACATGGTAATAAGTCAAACTTAATGGTAATAATTCAAATTTAAACTGAAACAAGACTTTATTGGATCATCTTCATCTAGGATTATGCTTCTTAAATTGGAGACCTCTGGGTAGATGTAGCTCTAGGCCAAAACTGACACATTTTTCTAAGACTGCCAATAATATTTGATAATCATGTTACACAATATTTTATAATGGATGTATGTATTCTGGAATAAATAACATATCCTGGAATATAGAAATTTCAGCATATGTTTTAAGATAAAACAAGAAAGTTTACTTGCGTCCAACTTCTTCGAACTTTGCATTCCTTTGGCACTGAAATGTGTCATCAGATATTTTGGACAACTAAGATCAAGACACTGAGAAAAGGTGAACTAATGAGAAAAGCCAAAACAAAAATAATTTTTTAGCACAAAACATCCTTTGACAGAAGAGCTGCCTTGCAATCAAGTATACTCACTTAACACCTAACATGTGCAAAGCAAGGGACATGAGTTCTTTTCAGACAGGGGAGCAGGAATAAGAATAGGAAGATTATATTTGGATTTACTCCTCGGTTAGTCTTTTAAAAAGAGCAATTTCTATCTACCCTCCCCTCTCCCCCCCCAAAAAAAGATTTTCTTGAATTGCCATTTCTTCCAATCTGCCTTGGACGACCTCTTTACAAGTACTGGAAACTAGGACTCACGTAACCAAAAAAATCTACATACAGTACTACCAAACTAGCCTTCAGCATTTCCTTCCTCTACCTTAAGGCCCACCTCTCTTCAAAGGGTTGGTCACCTTAGCGTAACTCCCCCCCCCACCTCCCCCGCTTTCATCCCCACCATTACACAATGTTGTAGCTGACTTTACCTTCTCCAAGCCGTTCTTCCTCCACTCTACCACTCACTCCTGCAAACCCCTCAGGGTATAAACTTGGACTTTATCAGTGAACTCCCAAGAGAAATTGAAAGAGATCTTTGAACAAAACAGATACTGCACAACTCTTTTATTTAGAAAGCCTCACCCTTCAACACCGCCTTGAGCGTTACCTGTGCCTACGTACAGCTCAAACTAAACAGGCTCAACAAAACAGGAATGCCGCTGTCTAACCTATTCAAGCAAGCTTTCCTTTGACAACTATCCTACCCTCATTTAAATATCAATCCTTCCCTTCCAGAAACAGCATAAAACAAAACAAAACAAAAGCCCCCTTTTAACAAGGAGTTTAGCAAAATACGTGCTTTTGTGGTATAGAACGGATTCCCCCAAGGGCAAACCGTTCCCAAAGGAGGGTTCCAGTCCTTTCCACCCTCCCTGAAGGAATCGAATGGGCTAAACTAAGGTAAAACACAAAAGATACGGCGCTCGTAGGGCAAGTTTTCAAAAGTTGCTACAAAGGAAAAGCTACAATGTGGACGCGCGGCTCTGCGGACGCCTGAGGGGGCGCTTCAGGACCCCGGGGCCGGAGCCGCTAGGCAAGGGGCGTCGACTACGCGGGCCCTACGCGCACCTGCCTTCTCCTCCGCGCCCTCCGCGGGGCCACAGCCCTCTCGAGCCGGCGCTGGACGTTACCTTGCGTGAGGGCCAGAAGGCAATAGAACAGCAGAAAGCCCTGGGGCGTGTTGCAGCGCTGGAGACTCTGCGGTTGTAAGTTCCCACACCCGCAGGGTCCCTCCTCAAGCTCCGGCAGCGACTCCGGCCTGGACAGCTCTTGGGAGGCAGGGGGAGCCTCTGAAGGCTGGGGTGGCTCCCGTGACTTCTGGGGCTCCGGAGGTTCCTGGGGCTTCGAATTCTGTGTCTGGGATTTGGTGGCCAAGTCAGAGACTTCGACGTGAGAGGGCGATGCAAACAAACGGTGCGGGGTGTCCGGGCTGGAGGCGACGAAAGCCGGGTTCTCGATGCCTTTGCTGCCCTTCATGGTCAGGATGGGTTCTCCCAACTCCAGCGCGTCGGAGCGGCAGAAAAACCCGGTTCCCCTCTGGAACCTCCCCTGCGCTGGTGCCAGCGCCCCCGTGCGGGAAGACTTCCCGCCTCCGCGCCGTCGCTCTCAGCGCGGCGGCCGCGCCGCCGCCGCCGCCAGGACCGACCTCCGCGAGCTCGCAGCCGCGCAGCGCGCAGAGCGCTGGCGCCGAGCCGGCCACCGTGTAACTGAACCCGGCCGCGCCTCACCTGTTGCCGCCGGGGCCAACTGGAATGCGAGGCGTGGGCGTGCGGCCCGGACGCCGCCAGGTGACCGGGCGAGGGCCCTCAGTCGGCCGCGCTGCTTCCTAGAGCCTGGGGACAGAGAACTATCCGGAGCTTGTGAGAGTCTGGTGGCCGTAAAGCTCCCCCTGGGTGCTGACAGGAAAGCTGTAAACAGTTGCGTCAGGAGATCGTTCCAGAATGTATCCTGCGTTTTACTTCCTTTACTAGGTTCGACTTCCAAGAATCAAGCAGCCATAAGTACAATACTTTGGACTTTGAGCATCTTGGTGAGACTTTTACCTGTCGTCCACCCTAGAAACAGAAATCCCCACCGGCCTCCTCCGCATTAAAACCGCCATAAATGTCACAACATAACCACCTTTTTGGTTTGACTTCCCCAAAACTGAAGATACAGAAATTAGGAAGCTTTAAAAGCCTATATACGATATTCTTTTTGCTGTATATTTCATATCTGAGATCAACAATGCTAATATTCATGTAATAATTTCTACCTGGGGAATAAATTTAAAAACACACACTTTGAAGAATCGAACACAATTATGCAAGAATAGTTAAAGTACATTCATTGTTATATTCATTCATCAAAAAATGATGGTCAGGGACAGCCTCACTGGGTTTGAGCAAAGACCTGAAGGAGATAAGGGAGGGAGTCCGTTATCTTGGCAGAATGAAATGATCAGAGAACAGTAGGAGTTGTGGGCGGGTGAAGGGGTGCAGATGAGGTTGGGGAGAAGTGGTTGGGTCCAAACTTTGGAGGCCATTATGAGGTCTTTGGCTTTTATTGTGAGTGAAACAGGAAAGTTTGGAACCAAGGAGTGACATGATCATGTCATGATTGGATTTTCAAAGGATCCATTCTCTCTCCCCGTCTGAGGATACACTAATGCATCCTAAAATATTTTAAACAAAGACATTTTTAAAACTATGTCAAGATCTCAACATGTTTATCTTTCCCTAAATTAAATGTGCATTGCAATAAGGAACATAATATAAATCATATACACACATTTCTTTTTTGCTATGTAATCAGGGCTACATACACAAAACTGTGATGTTTCATAAGAATACAGGAACCTACTCCTCAAATCTAATTATTGATTATTTAAAAACCTTCAAAACAATGTGTCTAGCCTGTCTTTAGCAAAGTTAATAGACTTCTCAGATATTACGAGATACTATACTTGCTATATTATATTTTTCCAATACAGTAGTGATATTATTCATTTATGAGGTCCCTTTTATTAAAAGATTACTTCAAGGGGTGCCTGCATGGCTTAGTAGAGCATGCTTCACTTAATCTCAGGGTGGTAAATTCAGGCTACACGTTGGGCATAGAGCCTCCTTTAAAAAACAATTAACTAACTTTTTAAAAATTTAATTATGAAAGTCTTAAAAAAAGATAACTTCACTAAAATTAACCAAGCTCAGTCAAGTTTTAGAGAGATTTTCAAGTTTTGCTATCTTAACACCTGGCTAATTGCCTGTCCAAGAAACTACTTCTAGATTCAGTACTAATATCTCCTGAATAGCCATTATTTGGTAGGACGTGATGGTCATATCCAAGCGTAACTTTAATCCCAGAGAAGAAAATACAGTGATGTAAAGTTTGTCCCTCATCCTAAAACAAGATGTGTTTAGGGGTGCCTGGGTGATTCATTCGGTTAAGTTTTAGACTATTGATTTCAGCTATGAGTCTGGCAAAGGGGGTCCATGCTGAGCTTGGAGCCTGCTTGAGATTCTCTCTCTTTCTCTCTCTCTCTCTGTCTCTCTCTGTCTCGCTCTCTGTCCTTCTGTCCCTCCTTTGCTCATGGGCTCTCTCTTTCTCTTAAAAAAAATGTTTTTATTTCTTCTAAGTATAATCACTAAGCTCATTTAACTTTTTTTTTTGAGAGAAAGTGAGAGTGCAAACGGGAGAGAAGTAGAGAAGGAGAGAGAGAATATTTTATTTATTTATTTATTTATTTTAATTTTATTTAAATCTAAGTTAGTTAACATATAGTATAATAATGGTTTCAGGAGTAGAATTTAGTGACTCATCACTGACATATAACACCCAGTGCTCATCCTAACCAGTGCCCTCCGTCATGCCTATCGCCAATTTAGCCCATCCCCCCACCCTACATAACTCCAGCAACCCTCAGTTTGTTCTCTATATTTAAGAACCCCTTATGGTTTGCCTCCCTCCCTCTCTGTTTTTATGTTATTTTTCTTTCCCGTCCTCTATGAAAGAGAGAGGGAGAGAATTTTTTTTTTAATTTTTTAAAATGTTTTATTTATTTCTGAGAGAGGAGAGACAGCATGAGCAGGGGAGGGTCAGAGAGAGAGGAAGACACAGAATCCAAAACAGACTCCAGGCTCTGAGCTAGCTGTCAGCACAGAGCCCAATGCAGGGCTCAAACCCACAAACTGTGAGATCATGACCTGAGCCGAAGTCAGGTGCTTAACCGACTGAGCCACCCAGGCGTCCTGAGAGGGAAAGAATCTTTAAGCAGTCTCCACATTCAGCGTGGAAGATGATGTGGCTACACAACCCTAGGATCATGACCTGAGCAAAAATCAAGAGTGCAACACTCAACCAACTGAGCCACCCAGGCGTCCCACTAAGCTCTTTTAAAATGCTCTAGAGGAATGTTTTACAAACACTATTAATTTTTTTAACGTTCATTCATTTTTTGAGAGACAGAGCACAAGCAAAGGAGGGACAGAGAGAGAGGGAGACACAGAATCTAAAGCAGGCTCCAGGTTCCTAGCTGTCAGCACAGAGCCTGACTGGGGACTTGAACTCCCAAACTGTGAGATCATGACCTGAGTGTAAATCACTCAGGTGCCCTGAGTCACCCAGGTGCCCCTAAACACTATTAATTCTTAATGAGATAAACTAGAATTCAGAAGAAAACACACATGACACATGATAGGTACTGTTTTGTGAAAATTTTTGTTTCAATTATATCTGCTTTACTTACTGAGGTGAGGGATTGAGATTTAATAGTACATATATCTTACTGTGAACAGATATACATCCTATTGTTTGTTCCCTGACAGTCTAGACTGGCTGAGAACATAGGGACAGAGTCAAAGTAGGAACTATTTTTTTGTTATTTTATTTGAGAGAGAGAGAAAGAGACTGAGCATGCCAGCATGCACCAGCCAGCCAGGGAGAGGGGCAAAGGGAGAGAGAGAGAATCTTAAACTGGCTCTAAACTCAGTGAGGAGCCTGACTCAGGGCTCAATCCAAAGATCCTAGGATCATCACCTAAGTTAAAACCAAGAGTCAGACATTCAACCGACTGAGCCACCCAGGTGCCCCAGAACTATCATTTTCTAAACATCTGGTAAATATTATTCCATTAATAATCTTTACTAAAGCAGTAGTTATTATTATCTACATTTTATATATTAAAGTATCTACATTCTGGAGAAGATTAGTAACTCTCCTGAAGTCATATAGCTAATAAATGGCCTGTCACGTGTTTACGACTTGAACTTAAAGTTCTCAGTCAGGTATCCTCCCTGGACTTTGCATTTTCTCTCTTTGAATTTCAACAACCTATCTCTGTCAGTTAGAATTTTTGCTAACAATTCTAAGAGATCAACAGTCATGTAATCTGATGTTGATAAGGTTTAGAAGACTAATTCTGCTCTGAACTGCAGATATTCAAATTTTGCAGATATCCAAGTTAGGCTTGATATGGAATGCCCATAGCCCTTCAAATGTAAAAAGTTTCCACAGAAACAGACTTAAAGTGATGTCTAAAGGTGTAAATGTACATATGATCACCATTTCATCTATGAAATATGAAGTAATTTAAACAGCCAGCAAAATTTTGTTTGATGAGATGACTAAACGGTCATGGGCTAACTCTTTTGCAGCTTTAAATTAACAAATTCAAATTATACTATCAAAATCAAAGTAGCATAATCATCATGTGCTTAAATCCATACTGTGTAAAGAGAAATCTCTTGCAGTGCTAGAGAGTAGAACTTTTTAAAAGATTAGCCAAAGTGCTATTGCTTCATCTTAACTACATCTTGCTCTTACTGAAAGTGTTATCAACACCACTTTCCTGTTCCCTTACATCCTTTCTGCTGCAATGCTGGAAGGAAGGGGGTTCAGGTTTGCAAGAAAGACAACAAAACAAAGTAAAAAAAAAAAAATTGGTAGATTTTGTCTCTTATAATTCTGTGGAAAGTTATCACTTTTAATTCTTTTGTCAATCTGGAGTAAATCTAGTGAGCATAGTCAAATTACACCATGTTAAATTTCAGAAGGTAATTAATAAGTTGCTATTCTTTTAATGAATTTCATTTAGACATAAATAAAATAAATCAAAACCTTTAAAAAAATCTTACATTTCTACTTTACAACTTGTGAAAGCTCTCAGAGCATGTTCTTAAAGGACAAGGATGAAGATTTTATACCCTACAAAAGAGGTATGAAAACAGAGGATTGCTTAAGTGAGCATAAGAGAAAATTCACAGAATCAAAGTATCTTCTTTGTTTGAAGAGAAGATAGAAACATCTCCACATTTCATGGGGTCCTGGGGGACTCAGTTGGTTAAGCATCCGACTTCAGCTCAGGTCATGATCTCACAGTTCATAGGTTTGAGCCCTGCATCGGGCTCTGTGTTGACAGCTCAGTCAACAGGCCTGAAGCCTGCTTGGGATTCTGTGTCTTCCTCTCTCTCTGCCCCTCCCCTGCTCACATTCTGTCTCTGACTCTCTCTCAAAAATAAAT